GTGATGCAAATAAGTGGAAAGTTTAAAGTTAACTTGTGACACACCCTTGATGACACTGTGAGGCTTTCTCGTGACCGTCCCAAATAAACTGTGCTAACCTTAGAGCTTACAACTCCTTACAACTTCCATGATTTCTTGTGAAATAATTATCTAGGTGGTTCATCATGTTGTTTATGAAAGCCCAACAGCGGCTGCACTTCCTGAGGTCCTCAGGAAGTACAAGCTGAACTCCAACCTGCTGCTGACCTTCTACCGCTCTCCATTGAGAGCCTGCTAACTTACTGCATCACAGTAACACACAACACACCCACACAACCACACACACACACAACAACACACACACACACAGCACAAACGAACGAATTTTACCCTTCACCTATAATCACTACGCACCCTAAAAAATTATTCAGGGGCTTAGTAAATATCATTATAATTCTAAGTTAGATGACCTTGATTAAATCTTTGAAAATCACAAAAGTGTTATCTTGAGTTGAAAATACTGAAAAGAATGCTTAAATTTTCAACACCAGTTTTTGAGTTGAACTGAGCTCTTTTGTTCAAGTTTATTTAAAAGAAAAAATTCTGTATTTGAAACACAGGGTGCATTATTTAAATCTACTCAATATATCTCATAGAAAGTACTCAAAATAACTGAGACACTGGTATTCATACTTATCATTGTCTTTAACTTTAATTATTAATGGTTCAAAATCAATATAATTTTGTCCCCCAATACTAACTTAAAACTTTGAGTAAGACTAATGACCTTTGGCATGTACCGCGCGCGAGGAGCATGGCCTCATGGGAGATTTTCTGCACGTTGAACGAGACAGACACACATCCACTGCAGACTTGGTAACGTTTTCAGGTAAGTGACCAATTCTTACATTAGCTGTCTTTATCCACACCGTTCTTTTATAACATGTTCTGAAGAAAGCGTTTGTCATGGTGGCTCACTTTTCGCAGCGTGTTTGTGCACGTTAATTTAAGTTTTCAACCCGTCTTCCAGTCAAGGCGGCGGGAAACCGCGCCCTTTTATCCTTTTACGTTCTGAGTCGCTATCTGCGTTCCGGGTAATTTGACCGGAATGTCCCGGTACCAGCGACCTGACCGTTTAATCGGGGGCATTTTAGGAACCACGTGAAAGCAGGTGTGCTCAGACATTTCTAGAAAATGGCCCTGTTGAGTCGCGGTGCGGGAGCTGCGGTAGTCACGCGGCCTGACTCACTCTGTCAGGTTGTTCAGGAGGAGATGAACAGACGTCATCAATGGCTTTGGTAACTAAGAAGACCTGCCCGCGGAACAGTTCATAGCAGCAACCATGCTGCTTAGCTTTCTTGTTCTATGTGGGGTCTTTCAGAGCATATAAGACGCTGCTTTCAGCTTTGTCCCGAACAGGGCCAGTTTTTGAGAGAACGCTGAGAGGACCGCCCGGGTCAGCAGATTACCTCATCCAGGGCCGGTCCAAAGTACTATGGGGCCTTAAGTAAATTTAGACTCGGGGCCCTACTTCCTTTCAGATCCCAGAAAATAATGAAAAAAAAAAAGCTTTGGTCCTTTTGGTCAAGCCAAAAGTACCATCATTTCCAGTATAGTTAGTATATAGTTAGTTAGTATAGTATAGTTCCAGAAACACTCAGTTTATTTAAATCCAGGTTGAAGACTCACCTATTCTCAGCTGCATTTGAACTAAAAAGGACACTGATGCAGTGTGCTGCAGTCTCTTCCTGTTCTGAAGGCTGAGGGAGTGAACCAGCAGGTGATGGAGAAAGTCATGATGCTTTCCAGGAAGGCATAGTAAAAAGATGGATGTGCTGACTCCAAAGGAGTTGAGTTTCCTAAGGAGGTATAGCAGTTGGTGGTACCCCCTGAGAATCTCGTCTGTGTTGGCAGAGAATTTCAGGAGGTTGTCAAAGATGGTTCCCAGGTATTTGTACTCCTCAACTACCTCCACTGGCTTCCTGTTGATGGTGGTGGTGACTGAAGCAACCAGATCCCTCTGTCTACTGGAGAAGGTCACCATCTCTTTGGTTTTACTCACATTCAATTCAAGTTTGGAGCTGTTACACCACTCTACAAACTCCTGCAGAGCGGGCCCATGGTGTTGTAAGAGGCCTGACAGCGGTGACAGCAGAACTGTGTCGTCAGCATATTTAACCTGGTGACAGTTGGGCTGTGTGGATCTGCAGTCATCGGTGTAAAGGATGAAGAGCAGGGGGGAGAGCACACAGCCCTGGGGGGGAGCCAGTGGAGGTGGAATGGAAACCGGAAAGAGACTTGTTGACCCGAACTTTCTGAGTCCTGTTGGTCAAAAAGTCCAATATCCACAGGATTAGCTGATCATCCAGGTAAAATCGGGTGGAAAGTTTAGTGGTCAGGATATGAGGCTGCAGAGTGTTGAA